CCAGATGGACCTCCCTAAAAGAGGAGACCCATAACATCTCCTCCCTTCCTGCTCTGGTGAGTCAGATGGATGTAACTGAAAGAGGAGGTCCTTCAAACAAGATTGAGGGAGCCAGCATGGAGAAGGTCCTTCTGGATCCCACCAGATGCACATCCTCAAGAGAGGGGACCCAAACATCTCCTCCCTTCCTGCTCTGGTGGGTCAGGTGGATGTAACTGAGAGAAGAGGTCCTTCAAACAATAAAAGGGAGCCACCACGGAGAAGGCCCTTCTCCTGGGTCCCACCAGATGGACCTCCCTAAAAGAGGAGACCCATAACATCTCCTCCCTTCCTGCTCTGGTGAGTCAGATGGATGTAACTGAAAGAGGAGGTCCTTCAAACAAGATTGAGGGAGCCAGCATGGAGAAGGTCCTTCTGGATCCCACCAGATGCACATCCTCAAGAGAGGGGACCCATAACATCTCCTTCCTCCCTGCTCTAATGGGTCGTATGGATGTAACTGAGAAAAAAGATCCTTCAAACAACAAGGAGGACCTTCTGGATCCCACCAGATGGACCTCCTCAAGAGAGGAGGCCCATAACATCTCCTCCCTTCCTGCTCTGGTGGGTCAGGTGGATGTAACTGAGAGAAGAGGTCCTTCAAACAACAAAGAGGAAGCCACCACGGAGAAGGCCCTTATCCTGGGTCCCACCAGATGGACCTCCTCAAGAGAGGAGACCCATAACATCTCCTCCCTCCCTGCTCTAATGGGTCGGATGGATGTAACTGAGAGAAGAGGTCATTCAAACAACAAGGAGGACCTTCTTGGTCCCATCAGATGGACCTCTTTAAGAGAATAGACCCATAACATCTCCTGCCTTCCTGTTCTGTTGGGTTGGAGGGATGTAATTGAGAAAAGAGGTCCTTCAAACAATAAAAGGCAGCCACCACAGAGAAGGCCCTTCTCCTTGTGTCCCGCCAGATGGACCTCCTCAAGAGAGGAGGTCCATAACATCTCCTTCCTCCCTGCTCTAATGGATTGGATGGATATAACTGAGAAAAAAGGTCCTTCAAACAACAAGGAGGACCTTCTGGGTCCCATCAGATGGACCTCCTCAAGAGAGGAGGCCCATAACATCTCCTCCCTTCCTGCTCTGGTGGGTCAGGTGGATGTAACTGAGAGAAGACATCGTTCAAACAACAAAGAGCAAGCCACCACGGAGGCCATTCTCCTGGGTCCCACCAGATGAACCTTCTCAGGAGAGGAGACCCATAACATCTCCTGCCTCCATGTTAGGGGATGTAACTGGGAAAAGGGGGTCCTTCAGACAACACGTTAGGCCTTTGAAGGTTCGAAGCAGCAAGCCGGATGGGCCGAGGATGATGGGTTCTGGGGAAGGGGGAACCCTTGTTGACCATCATTGTCTCTCTTCCTTGTCAACAGCCGGTCCGTAGCCCCGAGCGGCGAGATCGGAAAGCTGCGGGCGGCGCCCGGAAGAGGAAGGCCTCCCCTTCGCCCCCGCTGCCTCCCACCCCTGTGGAATCCAGGAAGAAAGCCGGCAAGAAAGGGTACGTCTCATGGATGGATGGATGGATGGATGGATGGATTGAATCGGGCCACACCATCTCAGCTGTCAAGCAACTCCGGACAGCTGTAATCCGAAGCTCCTTTATTTTCTGGTTGGTGGGTTTGGTGGGTTGGGTTGGGTTGGGTTGGGTTGGTTGGTTGGTTGGTTGGTTGGGTTGGTTGGTTGGTTGGGTTGGTTGGTTGGTTGGTTGGTTGGTTGGTTGGAGGAGGAGGGGGAGGACCTGCTGCCTCAGAAGATGGATCCGTCCTGGATCACCCAAGAGCGTTCCTACCAGTCTCAGATGATCAGCAGAAAAAGCCCGTTAATGTGTCTCTCTGTCTGTCTATCTATCATATTCTCTGTCTATGTCTATCATATTCTCTGACTGTCTGTCTATCATTCTCTATATCTGACATATCTCTTATTCTCTATGACTATATTTATCTATCATATTCTCTATCTGACTGTCTATACCTATCTCTATCTATGTATCATATTCTCTTTCTATATCTGTCTATCATATTCTCTATCTATATATCTATATCTATGCATCATATTCTCTATCTGACTTGTCTATATCTATCATTCTCTATATCTTATTCTCCTATCTTATTCTCTATGACTGTCTACATTTATCTAGCTATCATATTCTCTTATCTATCTGTCTATATCTATCTATGTATCATATTCTCTGACTGTCTATATATCTATATCTAATTATATCATATTTTATCTCTGTATCCCTATCAATCATATATATCTAATCTATATTATCATTTTCTATCTATCTATTTCTATATAATATTCTTTCTATCTATCATATTCTGTGTCATTCTATCTGACTATATCATATTTTATCTTCTATGATTATCCGTATCTATCATTCTATCTCTCTGACTATGTGTATAATCTCTATCTGACTATCCCTATCTATCTATCTATCTATCTTATCTATCTTATCTATCTTATCTATCTATCTATCCAATCTTATTCTCTCTGACTATATTTATCTATCATATTCTCTATCTGACTGTCTATATCTATCTATCTATCTATCTATCTATCTATCTATCTATCTATCTATCTATCTATCTATCTATCTATCTGTATAATATTCTATCTATCCCTATCTCTATCTCTCATATTCTGTCTGTCCTTCCGTCCGTCCGTCCATCTATCTATCTATCTATCTATCTATCTATCTATCTATCTATCTATCTATCTATCAATCTATCACCTGTCTATCTTCTCTGTATATTTATCTGTCTATATCTATCTTGTCTGTCTGTCTGTCTGTCTGTCTATCTATCTATCTATCTATCTATCTATCTATCTATCTATCTATCTATCTATCTATCTATCTATCTATCTATCTATCTGTGTTTCTCTAATCTCTCATCTGTATTGGCCTAGGATTCATCATCTTCTCATCTGTCTCTCATTCATCTCTTCATCTATCTCTCATCTTTCTATCGGTTACCACTTTGAAGTCCACCCATCTTCCAAGTGGCCAAGGTTGACAAAAACATGGATGGATGGATGGATGGATGGATTGTGAGATGGGGACAGAAAGACAATATTTCCCAACATGCTGGCTGAGGAACTCTTGGAATTACCCCTTCAAGTGGGTAAGGCCGATGGATGGATGGATGGATGGATGGATGGATGGATGGATGGATGGATGGAAAGAGATAGACCACAAAACATGCTGGTGGGGAACTCTGGGAGTTGAAGTCCGCCCATCTTCAAGTGGTCAACGTGGAGAAATTCATGGATGGAAATAGACCACAACTTCTTAACATGCTGGTGGGGAACTCTGGGAGTTGAAGTCCATCCATCTTCAAGTGGTCAACGTGGAGAAATTCCTGGATGGATGGATGGATGGATGGATGGATGGGGAGATGGATGGATAGAGACAGATAGAGAGAAAGAGACAGACCAGAACATCTCAGTATGCTGATGGGGAACTCTGGGAGTTGAAGTCCACCCATCTTCAAGTGGTCAACGTGGAGAAATTCCTGGATGGATGGATGGATGGATGGATGGATGGATGGATGGATGGAGACAGATGGAGAGAAAGAGACAGACCACAACGTCTCAACATCCTGGTGGGGAACTCTTGAGAGTTGAAGTCCACCCATCTTCAAGTGGGCAACGTGGAGAAATTCCTGGATGGATGGATGGATGGATGGATGGATGGATGGATGGATGGATGGATGGATGGAGACAGATGGAGAGAAAGAGACAGACCACAACGTCTCAACATCCTGGTGGGGAACTCTTGAGAGTTGAAGTCCACCCATCTTCAAGTGGGCAACGTGGAGAAATTCCTGGATGGATGGATGGATGGATGGATGGGGAGATGGATGGATAGAGACAGATAGAGAGAAAGAGACAGACCAGAACATCTCAGTATGCTGGTGGGGAACTCTGGGAGTTGAAGTCCACCCATCTTCAAGTGGTCAACGTGGAGAAATTCCTGGATGGATGGATGGATGGATGGATGGATGGATGGATGGATGGATGGATGGATGGAGACAGATGGAGAGAAAGAGACAGACCACAACGTCTCAACATCCTGGTGGGGAACTCTTGAGAGTTGAAGTCCACCCATCTTCAAGTGGTCAACGTGGAGAAATTCCTGGATGGATGGATGGGGAGATGGATGGAGACAGATGGAGAGAAAGAGATAGACCACAACTTCTTAACATGCTGGTGGGGAACTCTGGGAGTTGAAGTCCACCCATCTTCAAGTGGTCAACGTGGAGAAATTTCTGGATGGAGGGAGGGTGGGAGGGGAGGGATGGATGGATGGAGAGAAAGAAATAGACCAGAATGTCTCAACATGCTGGTGAGGAATTCTGGGACTTGAAGCCCACCCATCTTCAACCTGTCATGGTTGAGAACATCCATGGCCCAGTAGACATCAGCCATCTTCTCCATTTTCTCCCCCCGCGCCCCCCCCCAGACAAGCCAGCCTCTACTGCAAGAGACGCGGGCAAAAGGACGAGGATGAGCAGGAGGATCTCACCAAGGACATGGAGGACCCCACCCCGGTGCCCAACATGGAGGAGGTGGTCCTTCCCAAAAACGGTGAGTCGCGATCCACGCAAACACCACACATATCTCCCGTGTTTTGTCCACCGTGTTTCCTTCCGGGGAGGGGGGGGGAGTTTTCCAGCTTTTGAGACCGTTATCCGAGGGCTCTCAATACAGGCAAGTCCTCGACTTAACGACCACCCGTCGCTCCAGAATTTGCGTTGCAAACCTGAGACCTTTTGTGAAGCTTAACGACCATTGCAACATTCCCCGGGGTCACGGGATCAAAATTGAGACGCTCGGCAACCGACTCATATTTATGACGGTCGCAGCATCCCGGGGTCACGTGATTGAAATTCATATGCTCGGCAACCGACTCGTATTTACGACGGTGGCAGCGTTCCCGGGGTCCCGTGATCAAAATTCAGACGCTCGGCAACCGACTCGTATTTACGACGGTGGCAGCGTTCCCGGGGTGACGTGAAGTTCAGATGCTCGGCAACCGACTCGTATTTATGATGGTCGCAGCGCCCCGGGGTCCCGTGATCAAAATTCAAACACTTGGCAACCGACTCGTATTTACAACGGTCGCAGCGTCCCGGGGTCACGTGATCGAAATTCAGACGCTCGGCAACCGACTCATATTTGTGATGGTTGCAGCGTCCTGGGGTCACGTGGTCCAAATTCAGACGTTTGGCAACTGACTCATATTTATGACGGTCGCAGCATCCCAAGGTCACATGATCCAAATTCAGATGCTTGGCAACCGACTTGTATTTATGACGGTCGCAGCGTCCCGGGGGTCCCGTGATCAAAATTCAGACGCTCGGCCACTGACTTGTATTTATAACGGTCACAGAGTCACATGATCCGCATCTAATGAGAAAAGTCAACGGGGCATGGCCGATTCGTTTAACAACGATTTGATTAATTTAACGACAACCATGTGACTCCTGTAACAACTGCAGCGATTCGTTTTCACAACCGTGGCAAAGAACGGTCGTAAAACTGGGACCAATCTCCCTTCACAAATGTCCCGCTTACCAACGGACATTTTGGGCTCCATTTCCGGACATAACTCGAGGACTCATTTTAGGGCCTTCTCGGGGCTGAACTCTTGGAGAGTAACTCTGGTGTTCGGGTCAGGCTAACCGGGCGGAAGATTTTGATTTTACCAGAAATTGAAATATAATTCAAATTCAAATTAAAAATTTTTTTAAAAATCAAAAATAAGAATATTGATCGATCGATTAAAAATAAAAGATTTGATCTCTTTTTCTTTTTTTTTTTTTTTTGCAGTCAATCCGAAGAAGGACAGCGAAAACACGCCGGTGAAAGGAGGCACCGTAGCAGATCTTGGTGAGAGCAGATTTCTTTCTTCCCTCTTATTCGGTCCTCAAATTACGACCGTTTTGTTTAGCGACCGTCTGAAGTTAGGACGACGGCACCGAAGAAAGCGACTGAGCCCCCTGTATTTTCTTTTAGTCATAGCAAAGTTAAAATACAAGGTACAAAAGTCAACAAAATGAGAGTTTTTCACACTTAACGACCGTTGCGGGTCACGTGATCCAAATTCAGACGCTGGGCAACTGACTCGTATTTACGACGGTTGCAGTGTCCCCTTTTGTGACCTTCTGACAAGCCAAGTCAAGGGGGAAACCCGGATTCGTTTAACAACCGTGTGACTTCATTTAAGAACTGCAGCGATTCGCTTAGCAACGTTGGTGAGAAAGGTCATCTGATGGGGCAAGGGTCACTTCACCAGTGTCTCGCTTAGCACCACAAAAATTGGGGGGGCTCCATGCTGGTCGTAATGCAAGACAGCTACTATTGTAACGGAGCCTGTCCGTCTGGGTTGTAACTCGTGACGGTCGTAAAACAGGTCATCGGAATGGCCGTCGAATGGGCGAGTCCCGTGGACCAACCAGGTTTTGCAACCATGTTTATGGCGGTTGTTAAGTAAATCCGATCATCCCTTTTCTCAGGGACATGGTAACTTTGATCAGACACTAAGTGAGGACGATCGTAATGTGAGGACTACCCACAGTGGCTTCTACCCATTCAGCCAATCCTATCCTAGCTCCAGAGCTCTCTCTTGTGACCGTCCCGTCAAAATAAAGGCAGTCCCCGACTTACAACAGTCCTGAAAAACGTGATTTACGACCATTTATCAAAATTGGCGACCACCGCAGCACCCCCGTGGTCAGGTGATCCAAATTCAGCCACTCAGCAACTGCCTCCCATTGACGACGGTCGCAGTGTCCCAGGGTCGCCTGATCCCCCTTTTGCGACCTTCAGACCAGCCAAGTCAATGGGGGGAAAGCCAGGCTTGCTTTACAACCCGGTGACTCATTTAACAACGGCAGTGATTCACTGAACAACCGGGGCAAGCGAGGTCGCAAAACGAGACACAACAACGCAAATGAATCCAAATTGAGTGGAGGTGATCTTTGACGCACGATTATAACGGGGACTGCCCGTCCAGGTTAAACTTCGTGACAGTCGTAAAACAGGTCGCTCACAATGGCTGTCCCAATATTTAGCCATCGCTAATCTAGCTGCCGTTATCAAATTTACAATCGGTTCCCTTTTTGGCTTCATTTATGTCCCATTTTTCCACTAGTAAGAGGAATGCAATCCTGGGTGACATCTAGATGTCCTCCAAGGTCCCTTCCAACTTATTGTTGTTGTTGTTGTTGTTGTTATGTTCCAATCTCCTTCTCGCTCCTCCAGCAAATATTTGCACATTTAACATCTATTCGATTTAATTTACGAGGTGTTAGGTACAACCTCCATGTCACTTTATGTCCATTTTCCTTAACTCTTCACGGACATATTCTTATTCCAAATATTTTTCCCCATCTTTATCGTTGATTTCTCCTCAATCGGTTGACCCGCTGACTCACTTAGCGCCCGTCGCAATTCGCCTAATAAGTGTCAGCGGGGGCCGAATTGACTTAACCAGGGTCTGGCTTAGCAGCGGAAAAAAACGGGGGAGGCTCCCTAGCTCTCGTGGGAGGACAGCAGGGGTGCCAACGCTGCTGCTGCTGCTGCTGCTGCTGCAGTGTGTGCAGCTGTGAGGTTGTGCGACTGACACCAAACGCGCCCGCTTGTGTTCTTGCCTTGCAGACGAACAAGACGAGGACACGCTGACGAGTGGAGGAAAGGTAGCGTAAACCCTTTTCTTCTAGAAAATGGATATAAACTGTTTTTAGTCTGTCAGGCTGCTTGAGCAGGGGGTTGGACTAGATGACCTCCGAGGTCCCTTCCAACTCTATTATGATTGTTGTTATTGTTATTACTACTACTATTACTAATTGCTATTATTACTCTTGCTATTGTTATTATTACTATTACTACTATAGCTATTTTTACTAATTATTACTATTGCTATTTTTATTATTACTATTGCTACTATTACTAATTAATATTAATATTACTATTATTGCTATTGCTATTAATTACTATTGTTATTGCTAATTACTATTATTGCTAATTACTATTACTGCTATTATTTCTATTACTATTAATATTATTATTACTACTATTATTACTAGTATTATTGTTTACTACTACTATTACTAATATTACTAATTACTGTTATTACTACTATTACTATTATTACTACTATTACTAATTACTATTATTATTAGTACTATTGCTATTATTACTATCTATTACTGTTCTTACTATTATTACTATTACTACTATTGTTACTGTTACGACTACTATTACTATTATTACTAATTACTATCACTACTTTTATTGTTATTAGTATTACCATTACTATTATTACTAATTTCTATTATTTATTGTTACTACTACTATTACTAATTGCTGTTATTACTATTATTAATATAGCTAATTACTATTATTAATATTGTTATTACTATTATTACTAATTAGTATTAATATTGTTATTATTACTACTATTATTACTATTATTCCTATTACTGTTATTACATTACTATTGTTATTACTACTACCGTTACTACTATTATTACTTGTTACTATTGTTGGTTATTGTTGCTATTATTACTACTAGTACTGTTGACATTCAAACCAGCCCCAGCTCAGAGAGCAGCCAGGACCCCACACTTCAACACTGAGCAACCGATCTACTCTTTCCCCCCCCCCCCAAACAAATCTTGCTAGTAAACCAATCCCGGAAGACCTTGAGGCGCAGGCCATCCCATAACCTCCTCCACGCTCAGGCTCTCTCCTTCCCGCGTGAGGCTTGCTCCTTAGAGACCCGTCCACTTCCCGCCGAGGAGGATGCTCCCGAGATTGGCGTTACTCTTTTCCCAACGTCCGCCCCTTCACAGCGTGACTCCTGCCTTTCTCCTCCCTGTAGGAAGACGAAGACCCCAACAGAGGGGACCAGGGACGCTCCCTCGACGCCGGGGAAGACAACGTCACGGAACAGACCAACCACATCATCATCCCCAGCTACGCCTCCTGGTTTGACTACAACTGGTAAGCGCCACCCTAGGGGAGAACGGAAACAACCTCACCCCCTCACCCTGACGATGTTCCCTAGTTGGGTCGTGAAACGTCTGCAAGGAAACCACCCAGCTCAGAGAGCACCAGGGACCCCCACAATCAATCCTTCCTTCTTTCCTTCCTTCCTTTCTTCTTCCTCCTCCTCCTCCTCCTCCTCCTCCCCCCTTCTAGCACTGATGATGTTCCCTAGTTGGGTCATGAAACGTCTGCAAGGAAACCACCCAGCTCAGAGAGCACCAGGGACCCCACAGTCCTTTCCTCCTCCTCTTCCTCCTTTTCCTCCTCCACCCTTCTAGCACTGATGATGTTCCCTAGTTGGGTCATAAGATGTCTACAGGAAAACAGCCAAGCTTAGGAGAACACCAAGGACCACAGAGTCTTTTCCTCCTCCTCCTCCTCCTCCTCCTCCTCCTCCTCCTCCCTTCTAGCACTGGGAATGTTCCCTGGAAAGGAAGGAGATTGGAATTGGAAGGAAAGGGGAAAGGGAAAAGGAAAGGAAAGGATGGACTGGAATACAAAGGATGGATGGAAGGAAAGGAAGGGAAGGAAAGGGAGAAGATTGGAAAGAGGAAAGGAAAGAGATTGGAGTAGGAAGGATGGGTGGGTGGAAGGAAGGAGTGGAGAATGAGGGAAGGAAGAGTAGAGAGAAGGCAAGGAAGGAAAAAGGGAAGGAGAAAGATGGAAAGGAAGGAGATTGGAATTGGAGGGAAAGGAAAGGAAAGATTGGAATAGGAAAGATAGATGGGTGGAAGGAAGGAGTGGAGAACGAAGGAAGGAAGAGGAAAGGATTAGAGAGGAAGGAAAAAGGGAAGGGAAGGAAGGAGATTGGAATTGGATGACACGAAAGGAAAGAGATTGGAATAGGAGGGAGGGAAGGACGGAAGGAATTAAAAGGAGATTGGAATTGGAAGGAAAGGAAAGGAGGGATTGGAATAGGAAAGAAAGGATGGAGGGAAGGAAGGAAGGAGTGGAGAAGGAAGGAGAGAAGAAAAGGAAAGAGACGAATTGGAGGGAAGGGAAGAGATTGGAAGAGGAAGGATGGATGGACGTCAGGAAGGAGTGGAGAAGGACGGGAGGAAGGAAAAAACAGGAAGGGAGGGAGGAGAAAAAGGGAAGGAAGGAGCTCGGAATTGGGCGAAAGGAAAGAGATGGGAACAGGAAGGCCGGGCGGATGGTAGGAAGGAAGGAAGGAAGTTGGAAAAAGGAGGGAAGGAAGGAAAGAAAGAAAGGAAGGTAGGAAAGAAGGCGCGGACGGAAGAAGATCGGAAGAGAGAAAGAATTTTTGGGGGAATTCCCAGCCCGAAAAAAGCTTGGATATCAAAGCGGCGCCTAGTCGGGTTCTCCGGTGCGGCGCGCGCACGAGAGGCTGCGTTGGGTCAAGTTGGCTCCCGTGCTCACCGGCGTCCCCCGATCTGCAGCTTCCTCGCCAAGCCGGCATCAAAGGGAAAGCGAGCTAATCCTGGGCTTAAGTGGCCGCGGGAGTTGGCGAGGACGCGACGGGAAGGGAGAGTAAACGGGACGCTGACCGGATCCTCGTCTTCCTCTCTCCTAGCATCCACGTCATCGAACGCCGGGCTCTTCCCGAGTTCTTCAACGGGAAGAACAAATCCAAGACGCCGGAAATGTAAGTCGAGGGCGCAGACGGGGGAAACTGAGGGAGGGAGGGAGGGAAGGGGAGGGGTCCGTTTCTCCCTGGGCGGGGCTGCTTGGGACTCTGGGAGCTGGGTGCTTACCCTGCAGACGTTTCCGGACCCAACTAGAGAACGTCAGGGCTAGGAGGGGTGGGGTGGGGTTAACACTTCTAGCACTGATGACGTTGCCTGCTTGGGTTTGGAAACGACTGCAAGGAGAGCACCAGGGACCCCACAGTCCTCCTCCTCCTCCTCCTCCTCCCTTCTAGCACTGATGATATTCGCTAGTGGGGTCACGAGATGTCTGCAAGAAAATCACCCCGCTCAGAGAACACCAGGGACCCCACAGTCCTTCCTTCTCCTCTCTTCCTCCTCCTCTTCCTCCTCCTCTCCTGCAAGGAAGCCACCCGGCCTCCCGCCGTTCCAGCCTGCTACGTCCCCTTCCCTTGCTGACGCTAACTATGGCTGTTGAGAACATCCCGGTTAGATCTCAGCCGACAACCGTAACTTGCCGTTTTCTTGTCGTCCTCTCTCCCCCCACCCCCCAGATACTTAGCCTACCGCAATTTCATGATTGACACCTATCGCCTGAACCCTCAAGAGTACCTCACCAGCACGGCCTGCCGGAGAAATTTGACCGGGGACGTTTGTGCCGTGATGAGGTTCGGGCTTTCGCTGCTCTTCTTTTACTGTGTGTGTGTGTGTCTTAAACCCAGGGCTGGGGTGGGGTGGGGGGGGGGACACAAGAAAAAAAATGGGGCGTAAGTGGGGGGGACCCTGACGCTTGGAAGACCGACTACGTGATAAGGGCTGAGGTCTCCTTTCGTCATCTGGAGGGCATCCAGAGTCGCGCGGACGAAGCCGATGCCGTCTGGATCCCGTCTTTTTCGACATGGGAAGTGGAGTGGAGCGTAGTCTGGATTCCCGAAAGGGAGGGGCTGCACTCCGGAGCGCAGAGAAGCGGCAGAATTTAGATGGCCGAGTTGGAAGGGAGACACTGTCGGATTGATCTCCCCCCTACAACTTCTCAAGAGGATGCAGGCTGCCCTCCATTTTACCACCCCAGTTCGGCCCCACATTTGTGTCAGTAAACGAGGCAGTCGTTAAGTGTACGACTCTTCTTACCAGGGTTGTTCAGTCAATCCCTGCAGTTGTTAAGTTAGTAACACGGGGACCTGGGAGGTCTTCTAGTCCAGCCCCCTTCTGGAGGAGGAGACCCTGACAGAATCATAGAAGGGACCTTGAAGATCATCTAGTCCAGCCCCTCTCAAGCAGGAGACCCTGACAGAATCATAGAAGAGCAGAGTTGGAAGGGACCTCGGAGGTCATCTAGTCCAACTCCTTGCTCAAGCAGGAGACCCTTACAGAATCTTTGAAAGACAAGAGTTGGAAGGGACCTTGGAGGTCATCTAGTCCAGCCCCCTGCTCAAGCAGCCTTATAACAATAGTTGGACCTTGGAGGTCTTCTAGTCCAGCCCCTTTTCAAGCAGGAAACCCTACCTAGATCATTTCAGACAACTGGCTATCCAGTCTCTCCTTAAAAACCTCTAGCGTTGGATCGCCCGAGGCATCTGGAGTCCAGTCGTTCCACTGATCCATTCTTCTTATTGATTAGTTCTTCTGAGACTTGAGAACTTCCAGAGAGAGCTTCCTTCCAACCCAACTCCCTAAACTTCGCCGCTTCTCGCTCCTCCTGAATACAGCCCCTCCCCTCTGGGAATCCAGACCACGTTCCACCGCAGCTCGTCAAAAGTCCATCCATCCTGGTGGACGTCGACTCTCGGCTTTCTCCCAAACGGCCGTATCGATTTGAGGAACGGTCGAAGGAACGTCAGAAATCCACCCAATCTGGAAGTGGCCAAGTTGGAGAAGACCTGGCCCATCGTTGGCTTGGGTGTCGATTAATGCCCCCCTATCCCCAGATCCAGTTTGGATCTCCCAAGTGACACGAGCTAGCGATGCTCCTCCGTACGTCGTCTTGTCCTTTTTGTCCACCCATCTTCCCTCTTGTCCAACTTTCAGGGTCCACGCCTTTCTGGAGCAGTGGGGGCTGATTAATTACCAAGTGGACCCCGAAAGCCGACCCATGGCAATGGGACCCCCGCCCACCCCCCACTTCAACGTGCTGGCCGACACCCCTTCGGGACTCATGCCGCTCCACCTGCGGACTCCTCAGGTAACCACTTCTGGCGGATCTCTTGAACGTCGAGGGTGGCCTTCAGGACACGATGGGCGTGTCAAACTGGGTTACACTGAGCATCCGCGGGGAAAATTTGCTACCAGGAGGATACTCGGGAAACCCTCCACCCTATCGAGAAGGTCTTCCTAACCCCGACTCCGTCCGTGGGTGTCGGTTGTGGGGAGACGCTGAGGGGAACTGTGGAAAGAACGTTTTTGGAGAACGTATCTCGGGAGACGTGGTGTTTCAGGAATTCTCCTTCTCGGCCACCCTTTGACCAGAGGGGTCCAGTGTGCTGGGCCACTGAAGACCCTGGTTGGCTGGGGAATTCTGGGAGTTGAAGTCCACCCATCGTCACGTGGTCAAGGTTGAGAAACGGATGGATGGATGGATGGATAGATGGTTGGAGGGATGGAGAGGTGGATGGATGGATGGAGAGAAAGAGATAGACCAGAACGTCTCAAAATGCTGAGAATTGGTCCACCCATCGTCAAGTGGTCAAGGTTGAGAAATGGGTGGATGGAGAGATGGATGGAAAGATGGAGGGATGGGAGTTGAAGTCCACCCATCTTTAAGCTGCCATGGTTGAGAAACGGATGGAGAGATGGAGGGAAAGAGATAGACTATAACTTCTCAACATGCTGGGAGTTGAAGTCCACCCATCTTCAAGTGGTCAAGATGGAGAAATACCTTGTAGGGATGGATGGATGGAGAGATGAATGGATGGGAGTTGAAGTCCACCCATCTTTAAGCTGCCATGGTTGAGAAACGGATGGATGGATGGAGAGATGGATGGATGGATCAGAACATCTCAACATGATGGATCAGAACATCTCAACATGATGGGAGTTGAAGTCCACCCATCTTCAAGTGGCCATGATGGAGAAATACCTGGTAGGGATAGATGGATGGATGGATGTATAGATGGATGAATGAATGGAGATATGAATGGATGGAAAGGTGGATGGATCGATCGATGGATGGGAGTTGAAATCCACCCATCTTTAAGCTGCCATGGTTGAGAAATGGATGGTGGGTGGAGATAGACCAGAACGTCTGGTACCTTGTAGGGATGGATGGATGGATGGCGATATGGATGGATGGATGGATGGAGAGATGGATGGATAGAAAGAAATAGACCAGAACATCTCAACATGCTGGAAATTGAAGTCTACCTATCTTCAAGTGGTCAAGATGGAGAAATACCTGGTAGGGATAGATGGATGGATGGATGGATGGATGGATGGATGGATGGATGGAGATATGAATGGGTGGAAAGGTGGATGGGTGGATGGATGGATGGATGGAGAGATCAATGGATGGGAGTTGAAGTCCACCCATCTTTAAGCTGCCAAGGTTGAGAAACGGATGGGTGGGTGGGTGGGTGGGTGGATGGAGATAGACCAGAACGTCTCAACCTGCTGGGAGTTGAAGTCCACCCATCTTCAAGTGGTCAAGAAATACCTGGAGGATGAGAGGGATGGATAGGTGGATGGATGGAGAGATGTAGAGAAAGATAGACCAGATCTTCTTACCATGCTGATGGGGAATTCTGGGAGTTGACGTCCAGCCATCGTCAAGCTGCCATGGTTGAGAAAAGGATGGATGGATGGAGAGATGGTTAGAGGGACGGAGAGATGGATGGATGGATGATGGATTGGATGGATGGATGGATGGATGGAGATAGACCAGAACGTCTCAACATGCTGGTGTGGAACTCTGCGACTTGAAGTCCACCCATCTTCAAGTGGTCATGCTGGAAAAATAGCTAGAGGGAGGGACGGAAAGATGGATGGATGAAGAGTTGATGGATGGATGGATGGATGGGTGGATGGAGAGAGAAATGGACCAGCATTTCTTAATGTGCTGGCTGGGGAATTCTGGGAGTTGAAGTCCACCCATCTTCAAGTGGTCAACGTGGAGAAATTCCCGGATGGATGGATAGATGGATGGAAGGAAAGAAAGAAAGAAAGAAAGAGATGGACCACAACTTCTTAACATGCTGGTGGGGAATTCTGGGAGTTGAAGTCCCACCTATCCTCCAGCGGCCACGGTTGAGAAACACGCAACGTGCTCTTCCCAATTTTAGCCTCCTTCCTTCCTTTTAATCTCTCTCTACTTCATTCATGGCTCTCAACTTCCGAGCTTGGGTACCAACCTCCTAATAACCTATCGCTGGCCTTTGATGATACAGAAGAAATATTATTATTATTTTATTTATTTAGCCAAGTCAGGAAACTTTTTTGGGACCCCTGACGGGGGAGTAGGAATCGTGATAACGCGCGCTTTGTTACATTTTGCGCGCATCCCGTCGGTTCAATAAACTTGATTCCGCTTACGACCAAGAGTTGCTTTGGTCTCCTTCCGGAGGCGTTCCGAATCTCTCCTGCCGTTCTCATTATCCTGGGTTTTGGGGTTTGTTTGTTTTTTTGTAGATCCCGGCTGCCCAACAAATGCTGAATTTCCCGGAGAAAAACAAGGAGAAGCCGACCGATCTGCAAAACTTCGGTCTCCGCACGGACGTCTACTCCAAGAAAACCTTAGCCAAGGCAAGGCGTCGAGTCCTCCTTCCTTTCTAGACCTCAGACCTCGCCTCTTCGCTTCCCAAAATTCCCCCCTCCCCCCCCATCCAGCCAGCAGGCTGGAATTCCACACCTCGGGAAGTGGCGCGGAGGTGGAGACGCGGGCTGAAGGGGCCGGCGTAGAAAATGGCTCCCTTTTCCATAAGGAACGGTTAACCGCCGGAGGACTGCGGGAGAACTCGGAACCGCTCGGCGAGGGAGATGGGCAGTCTCTAAATTGGACGGATGAATGGAGGGTTGAGAGAGAGAGAGAGAGAGAGAAATAATAGGTGGGCAGGTGGGTGGGTGGATGGATGGATGGATGGGTAGATATCTTCCATTGGTAAGTAGGTAGGTAGATGATAGAGGAGAGAGCTTAGGTAGGTGGATAGATAGATTAGATAGACAGATAGGTAGGTAGATGATAGCTTAGGGGGCTGGATGGGTAGATAGGTAGGTGACAGACACGATGTTTAGGTAGGTAGATGATGGGTGGATGGGTAGATAGACACGATAAATGTTTAGGGAGGTAGATGATAGGTGGGTGGATGGGTAGATAGGTAGACAGACGATAAAGGTTTAGGTAAGTAGATAGGTGGGTGGATGGGTAAGTCGGTAGACAAACACGATGTTTAGGTAGGTAGATGATGGGTGGGTGGATGGGTAGATAGACACGATAAATGTTTAGGTGGGTGGATGGGTAGATAGGTAGACAGACAATAAATGTTAAGTAGATAGGTGGGTGGATGGGTAAGTAGGTAGAAAACACAATGTTTAGGTAGGTAGATGGGTGGATGGGTAGATAGACACGATAAATGTTTAGGTAAGTAGATAGGTGGGTGGATGGGTAAGTAGGTAGACAAACAATGTTTAGGTAGGTAGATAGGTGGGTGGATGGGTAGATAGGTAGACGATAAATGTTTAGGTAAGTAGATAGATGGTGGATGGGTAAGTAGGTAGACAAACATGGTTTAGGTAGGTAGATGATGGGTGGATGGGTAGATAGGTAGACGATAAATGTTTATAGATGGTGGATGGGTAGGTAGACACGATGTTTAGGTAGGTAGATGATGGGTGGATGGGTAGATAGGTAGACGATAAATGTTTAGGTATAGATAGTGGGTGGATGGGTAGGTAGGTAGACGATGTTTAGGTAGGTAGATGGGTGGATGGGTAGATAGGTAGACAGACGATAAATGTTTAGGTATAGATAGAGGGTGGATGGGTAGGTAGACACGATGTTTAGGTAGGTAGATGATAGGTGAGTGGATGGGTAGATAGGTAGGTAGACAGACAATTAGATATTTAGGTAGGTAGATTATAGGTTCAGACAGACAGTCGATTAGGTAGGTAGCTTGGGTAGGTGGGTAGATATATAGGTAGTAGGTAGGTAGACACGGTAAATGTTTAGGTAGGTAGATGATAGCTTGGGTGGGTGGGTAGATATATAGGTAGGTAGACACGATAAATGTTTAGGTAGGTAGATGATAGCTTAGGTGGGTGGGTGGGTAGGTAGGTAGACAGACGATAAATGTTTAGGTAGGTAGATGATAGCTTGGGTGGGTGGGTAGATATATAGGTAGGTAGACAGACACGATAAATGTTTAGGTAGGTAGATGATAGCTTAAGTGGGTGGGTGGGTAGGTAGGTAGACAGACGATAAATGTTTAGGTAGGTAGATGATAGCTTGGGTGGATGGGTAGATATGTAGGTAGGTAGACAAGATAGATATTTAGGTAGGTAGATGATAGGTGGGTGGGTAGATATATAGGTAGGTAGACACGATAAATGTTTAGGTAGATAGCTTGGGTGGATGGGTAGATATGTAGGTAGACAGACACACAATTAGATATTTAGGTAGGTAGATAGCTTGGGTGGGTGGGTAGATATATAGGTAGGTAGGTAGATAGGTAGGTAGACACGATAAATGTTTAGATAGGTAGATAGCTTGGGTGGATGGGTAGATATGTAGGTAGATAGACGATTAGATATTTAGGTAGGTTGATGATAGCTTGACTGGATGGATAGAGACATGATAGATAAGTAGATAGGTAGATGATAAATAGCTTAGGTGGATGGATGGATAGATAGGTAGATTAGAGGGCAGGTGGATGGGTGGATAGATATATAGGTAGATGGTAGATGATAGAGCTTGAGTGGAGATAGATAGATAGATAGATAGATAGATAGATAGATAGATAGATAGATAAGGTAGATGATAGCTTGAATTGATAGGTAAGTACATATTTAGGTAGAGAATTTGGGTGGGTGGATGGATAGATAGGTAGGTAGATAGGCAGATGATAGCTTGGGTGGGTGGGTTGATGGATACATAGATGGATGATGGGAGAGGGAGAGATAGCTTGGGTGGGTTGGATGGATGGATAGATACGTAGGTAGGTAGGTAGGTAGATGATAGATAGCTGGGTGGGTGGGTTGATGGATACATAGATTAGGTGGATGGATGGAAGATAAGGATAGCTTGGGTGGGTTGATGGATAGAGGTAGGTAGGTAGGTAGGTAGGTAGATAGATAGATAGATAGATAGATAGATAGATAGATAGATAGATAGAAATGGATAGATTGATTAGGTTGGTTGGTAGACTGATAGATAGAGACAGCTTAGGTGGGTACATGGATGGATGGATTGATAGACAGATGACAGATAAATCGATCGCCTCTCCTAACCAGCCCCCCCCCTTTCCATCCTTTCGCACCGGCTCAACCAGTAAACCGATTTTTTGTCTCCCAGAGCAAAAGCGCCAGCGCCGGCCGAGAGTGGACCGAACAAGAGACTCTCCTTCTGCTTGAGGTAAAAAAATTTTAAAAATGTATATATAAATGTCAAACATTAAGGATTTAGGGGGACAAGAAGAAGAACTAGGACTACGGGCAGTCCTCGACCGTTCGTTTAGTGACCGTTCCGAGTTTTCCGCACCCTTAACTACCGTCGCAGCATCCCGTACGGTGATGCGGTGGTCCAAACTCAAGACGTTTCGGCCACCGACTCGTTTTATGACGGGTTCGCCGTGTCCCCGGGGAGGAATCAGGTGATTCCCCCTTTTGACGAAGCCAGGAACCCTGCGCCGGACTGAACAACCGCAGCGATTCGCTTAACAACCGCGGCGAGAACGGTCGCAAAAGAGGTCGGCAACCAAACGTCTCCCTCGGCTGCGTAAAATTTGGCACTCGGTTGTGCTGTCCGTTGAGGGCAGGGTGGCTAAACGGCGCGGTCAATCCTCTTTTAAGTTTTTCCGCCGACTTTTCCGGGCGAGCTTCCCGAGTCCGCTTTGGCGTGGTTGCGAGTTGTGTCGCACGTCCGTTGTGGTTGAATTCGGCGGTCACCTCCGCTTCGGCATCGGGCTAACTTCTCAGTTGTCCTCTTTTTCTCTCTCTCTCTCTCTCTCTCTCTCTTCCCCCCCTCCGTTCTCCACCTGGGAACGACCCCAAAAACTGGTCTTATTTCGCCCCTTCTGGTCTTCCAAGCTTACGATCCGGAGTCTTGACCCCGAATCGTGGCTTGTCGCACGATTGGCGGAGGCAGCCGAGAACGAAAGCGTCTTCCGATGTCGAGAAGACGGGGGGGGGGGGGAAAGTTGCACGGGGCACAAAACAGATAAAGAAGAGATTGAGTCCTTCCCTCCCCCAGCAAATTGAAATTCGGCCCGCGCATGGGGCCGGATCTCATGACTTAGGCGACGGTGGGAGGGATGATTGCGGAGGAACCTGGTTTGCTGCAGTCCCGACAGGTGGAAGAAACCGCAGCTTGCATGTTAGATCAGAGGCAGCCACGCCTGAGCGGTTATTTCGGCTCCGCTGCTATTCCAGCCGAGATTGAATCTTCGGGAAGGAAGGAGAAGAGGGAGGGAGGAAGATAGGAAGGAAGAAGGGAAAGGGAGGGAGGGAGGAAGGAAGGAAGAAAGGAAAAGGGAGGGAGAGACAAAGAAGGGAAGGGAGGGAGGGAGGAAGATAGTATGGAAAGGAAGGAAGAAAGAGAAGGGAGCAAAAGAGGGAGGGAGGGAAGAAGGAAGGAAAGGCAGGGAGGAAGAAGGGAAGGAAAGGAGGCATAGAGGGAAGGAGGAAGAAGGAGAGAAAAGGAAAGGGAGGAAAAGGGAGGGAGGGATGGAAGAAGGAGGGGAGGGAGGGAGGCAGGACAAGGAAGGAAGTAATAAGGAAGGGAAGGAGAGAAGGAGAAGGGAAGGAAGGAGCGGGAGAAGGCGGGGAAGGAAGGAAGGAGAAGAGGAGAAGGACTTGGGGGAAGGAGGGGGAGAGGGCTAGGAAGGGAGGGAGGAAGATAGGAAGGAAGAAGGGAAAGAGGGAGAAAGGAAGGAAGAAGGGGAAGGAAGGAAGAAGGGGAAGGGAAGGAGGAAGATAGGGAGGAAGAAGGGAAAGGGAGGAGGGAAGAAAGGAAAAGGGAGGGAGGAAGATAGATGAAGAAAGGAAGGAAAGAGGAAAAAGGAGGAAGAGAAGGAGAGGAAACGGAGGGAGGAAGAAGGGAAGGGAGAAGGAAAAAGATGGAAGGAGGCAGGAAAAGAGGGAGGGAGAGACAAGGGAAGGAGGGAGGAAAGAAGGAAGGAAAAGGGAAGAAGGAAGGAAAGGCAGGGGGAAGAAGGGAAGGAAGGGAGGCAGAGAAGGAGAGAAAAGGGAGGGAGGGAGGGATGGAAGAAAGAAAGGGGAGGGAGGCAGGGAAAGGAAGGAAGAGAAATAAGGGAGAGAAGGAGGATGGGAAGGAAGGAGAGGGAGAAGGCGGGGAAGGAAGGAAAAAAAGGAGAAAGGGAAGAAAAGGGAACGACGGAAGAAAGAAGGGAAGAAAAGAAAGCTACGGAAGCCTCCAATCCAGGCTGAACTTTGGGGGGGGGGGCACATGGAGACAGGCCTCCTGTTGCCAGGGCAACAGCAGAGCAGATCCTCCCGATTGGCTCTTTTCCAAAGGCTGCTGTTGCTGCTCCCTCCTCCTCCTCCTCCTCCTCCTCCTCCTTTTCCCTCTTCTCCTTCCCTTGCGTCGGCCTCTTCTCCTTCCTCCTCCTCCTCCATTTTCTCCTCCATCGCTTGGCCCTCCCTCTCCATCCCCCTCTCCCCCCTTCTCTTCTTTTCCTCCTTCTCCATCTCTTCTTCCTCCTCCTTTATTATTCCTCCTCCTTCTCTTCCTCCGTCTCTTCTTCCTCCTCCTCATTGTTATTGTTATTGTTATTTCTCTTCCTCCTCCTCCATCTTTTCTCCTCCTCCCCCTTCTTCCCACTCCGTCTTCTCCTCCTCCTTTCCCTCCCTCCTTCTGCTCCTTTCCTCCTCTTCCTCCATGTTCTCCTCCATCGCTTGGCCCTCCCTCTCCATCCCCCTCTCCTCCCTTCTCTTCTTTTCCTCCTCCTCCTCCTCCTCCTCCTCATTATTATTATTGTTATTATTATTATTCCTTCTCTTCCTCATTATTATTCCTCTCCCTTCTCTTCTTCCTCCATCTCTTCCTCCTCAGTATCATTATTATTCCTTCTCATTATTATTATTATTATTATTATTATTATTACTATTATTATTCCTTCTCTTATTATTATTATTCCTTCTCTTCTTCCTCCTCCTCCTCATTATTATTTTTCCTCCTCATTATTATTATTATTATTATTATTATTATTATTATTATTATTCCTTCTTATTATTATTCCTTCTCTTCCATCTCTTCTTCCTCCTCCTCATTATTATTATTATTCCTTCTCCTCAGTATTATTATTATTCCTTCTCATTATTATTATTATTATTATTACTATTATTATTCCTTCTCTTATTATTATTATTCCTTCTCTTCTTCCTCCTCCTCCTCATTATTATTTTTCCTCCTCATTATTATTATTATTATTATTCCTTCTTATTATTATTCCTTCTCTTCCTTCTCTTCCATCTCTTCTTCCTCCTCCTCCTTATTATTATTATTATTCCTCCTCATTATTATTATTATTATCATTATTCCTTCTCTTATTATTATTCCTTCTCTTCCATCTCTTCTTCCTCCTCCTCATTATTATTATTATTCCTTCTCTTATTATTATTATTCCTCCTCATTATTATTATTATTCCTTCTCCACTTATTATTATTCCTTCTCTTCCTTCTCCTCCTCCTCCTCATTATTATTATTATTCCTCTCCTCCATCTCTTCCTCCTAATTGTTATTGTTGTTATTTCTCTTCTCCTCTTCCTCCTTCCTCTATCTTTGCTCCTCCCCCTTCTTCCCACAGGCAGAACTGGAACTCGCCGTCTCTCCCGGTTTCAGGTCCCCGAATCGAATCCTGCCCCGATTCTCCCAAGGAGCTCAGTTGGGCCTGCCCAATTACAATCCACCGTGAAGTAAATCTCGAGTGACTTTATCCACCGTAAAGTCAGGCACATGCTTAGTCCTTGACTTACCATAACTCGCTTAGTGTCCATTCGAAGTTACGACGAGAGACTTGGGTCTCTTCACACTTAACGACCGTTAGGGCATCCTCCGTGGTCCCGGGGATCAAAATTCAGACACTTGGCCACTGACTCAGATTTACGACCGCTGCAGCGTCCGACGGAGGGGTTCGCGCGATCCCCTTTTGCAACGTGCCGACAAGCAGGGATCCAGGTTCACTTAACAACCGCAGGGACTCACTTAACAACTGCGGAGAGAAAGGTTAGAAAACGGAGCCCAAGTCACTCCACAGATGTCTCGCTTAGCGACGGAAATATTTCGGGCTAAATTCTGCTCGTAAGTCGGGGACGGCCTTTCGTTTTACGGCTAGTCCTCGACTTTACGCCCAAAACTTACGTCGCTAAGGGAAACATTGGTTAAGGCGGTTTGGCCCCATGGGACGACTTTTCCCACCACCGTTAAGTGAATTGTTGTGTTTGTTAAGTCAGCCGTGTGGGCGTTGAGGGAATCTGAGGGAATTCGTCGGAAGGTTGCGAAAGGAGTTCCGGTGACGGCGCAACGGCGCGACGCCCATCTCAAATACAAGTCAGTGGCCAAGCATCTGGATTTTGATCCCCGGGATGCCCCAAGGGTCGTTAAGTGTGAAAAGGGGTCATAAGTCACATTAAACGGTCGTTAAATGAACTTTTATAAGTCGAGGACTATCTGTACTCTGCTTTTAGGTGAAACGGGAATATCTATTGCAAGTCTGTGTACGATACGCTATACGCTAAATAAATACATTTTATTCTCCGTAAATATAAAACTCCTTTTTAGGGGGTGGAAAATGTGGTTGTGTTGCATTAGAATTCCGGACACCTCGATCCAATTTCAGTTTTTGTTTTTTTCATTTCTCCAACATGCTTTCCTTCTTTGCAGTAACCAATACAGGTAGTCCTCGGCTTTACGACCGCCGCGGAGCCCCCAAATGTCCGTTGTGAAGCGACACACTCCTTAAGGTCCATTTTGCCCCATTTGACGAGCTTGCTTCCCATGCGGTTCTTAACTGCATCCCTACAGTTGTTAAAGTAAGCAACACGGTCATTAAGCAGAGCAGGCTCCCCCCCCTGTTCACTTTGCTAGCCAGAAGGTCAGACAAGGGGATCAGGTCACCCCGGGACACTGCGACCGTCATAAATACGAGTCAGTTGCCAAAGGTCTGAATTTTAATCACACTGCGACCGTCATCAATACGAGTCAGTTGCCAAGCCTCTGAAGTTAACTTATGTGACCTTGGAAACTGCAACCGTCATAAATACGAGTCGGTTGCCGAGCGTCTGAACTTTGATCATGTGACCCCAGGACACTGCGACCGTCATAAATACGAGTTGGTTGCCAAGCGTCTGAATTTTAATCACGTGACCTCGGAACACTGCAACCGTCATAAATTTGAGTCGATTGTCGAGCCTCTGAATTTTCAATCACGTGAGCCTGGAACTCTGCGACCGTCGTAAATATGGATCAGATTCCAAGCGTCTGAATTCAAATCCCACGGTTGCAAGTGTCCCAAAATGGTCACTTTTTTTCCCCAGTGCCGCGGTAACGTCGAGGACCACCTGCGTCGGAAGACGGGAGCTCCGACAGGATGCCGGCGTGTGTGTCTTTGTCTCCCCGTTGATACCCGTTTTTCTTCTCCTCTCGCCCAGGCGCTGGAGATGTACAAGGACGATTGGAACAAAGTCTCTGAGCACGTCGGGAGTCGCACCCAGGACGAGTGCATCCTCCATTTTCTCCGGCTTCCCATCGAAGACCCTTACCTGGAGAACTCGGACGCCTCGCTGGGACCTTTGGCGTACCAGCCCATCCCCTTCAGCCAGTCCGGCAATCCGGTGATGAGCACCGTGGCCTTCCTAGCCTCGGTGGTGGACCCCCGGGTGGCGTCGGCCGCAGCGAAAGCAGCGTTAGGTACGATGTCCCCCACCCAACACACCGTACGACGTGTGTTGGCGTTTCCATATGGGCTTGTCGTGGGTTTAAGAGGTGAAGTCGCTTCCCTTCGCCTTGTGGCATAGTGGATGTCAAGAGAAGAAGAGAAGGTTGGTAGGACTGCGGGGGTCCTGGGTGGTCTCTGAGCCGAGTGGTTTTCTTTGCAGACGTTTCACGACCCAACTAGGGAACGTCATCAGTGCTACAAGGAAGGAGGAGGAGGGGGAGGAGAAGGAAGAAGAGGAGAAGGAAGGAAGGAAGGAAGGAAGGAAGGAAGGAAGGAAGGAAGGAAGGAAGGAAAGACTGAGGTCCTTGGTGGTTTCTGAGCTGGGCGGTTTTCCTTGCAGATGTTTCACGACCCATCTAGGGAACGTTATCAGTACTAGAAGGAAGGAGGGGGAAGAGGAAGAAGAGGAGAAGGAAGGACTGTGTGGTCTTTGGTGGTCTGTGAGCTGGGCGGTTTTCCTTGCAGACGTTTCACGACCCAGCTAGGGAACGTCATCAGTGCTAGAAGGAAGGAAGAGGGGGAGGAGGAGGAAGAAGAGGAGAAGGAAGGAAGGAAGGAAAGACTATGAGGTCCTTGGTGGTCTCTGAGCTGGGCGGTTTTCCTTGCAGACGTTTCACGACCCATCTAGGGAACGTTATCAGTGCTAGAAGGAAGGAGGGGGAAGAGGAAGAAGAAGAAGAGAAGGAAGAACTGTGGGGTCCTTGGTGGTGTCTGAGCTGGGTGGTTTTACTTGCGGACGGTTCACGACCCAACTCGATCGTGATTGCGGAAAACCTTTCCCGCAAATTTCTAACGTCTCAGCTTTATTTTCTGACTCTTATTTCCGACAGAGGAATTTTCCCGCGTCCGGGAGGAAGTCCCTCTGGAGCTGGTGGAGGCCCACATCAAGAAGGTCCAGGAAGCCGCCCGTATTTCGGGGAAAGTGGACCCCACGTACGGCCTGGAGAGTAGCTGCATCGCCGGAACGGCCGACGACAAGCCCGAGAAAGCTGGTAAGTTCCCCAGCATTGACGGTTGAGTATGTCTTGAGTAGGTCGTCTTTGACTTACGACCGTTGGTTTCGTGACCATCCCAACGGCGCTGACCGATGGTGGCTTCGTTTTTCACACTTAGCGTCCGTTGCAGTGACTCGTGACCCTTGTTCACACTTTGAACGACCGTTCCAGCATCCCTGCGGTCCCGTAATCGTAATTTGGACGCTTAACAACGGCAGCAAAATCGGTCGCAAAGTTCACTTCGCAACCACTGAGGGTGGGGTGGGGGGGTTAAAAAAAACTTCATAAAATGGGGCACGACTCGCTGAACGGCAGCCTTACGGGGAACAATTTTTTCCCCGTAAGTCAAGGACCAGCTCCAACACTAAAGGGACCGTTTGAGGCGGTTCTCGAAACAGCCCTTCTCGGATGGAAGACCAAATTTAAATTTGCTTTTCGTTCGAGCGGCGTGCGTGCCGCAAGAACGTCCAAACTTCCCCGCGGCGGGAAAGTTTGACAGGTCGCCACTTTTGTGGACGTTGTACGGCGGCTTGGCTGCTGCCGCAAATATCGCCCATTGTCACTTGTGCAAGGTTTAGAAATTGTGTTGAGCGCTTTTCGCCTTTTGCGGTGATCTCCCATGCAGCCGTCTTGCGGGAAACCCGAAAATTATTTCCAAGGATTCTCGCCAGGTGGACAGCGTTGAGATAGGCTGACGGGACTGATTGGTGATTGATTGATTGATTGATTGATTGACATGGTTCTTCTCCCAGGAGATGTATTTTGGGGGTGGCGACCCCTCTCTCCGCTTCCCGTCAAAGCCCCACCCCCTTCTGCCCCCCCCCCCAAGTCCAGCAGTTGAACTGAAGGTCTCTTCCAGACTTTGCATCCTCCCAGAATAACAGAGTTGGGAGGGACCTCGGAGGTCATCTAGTCCAGCCCCCTGCTCAAGCAGGAGACCCTAAGAGAATCACAGAATGACAGAGTTGGAAGGGACCTTGGAGGTCATCTAGTCGAACCCCCTGATCAAGCAGGAGATCCTGACAGAATCATGGCATAACAGAGTTGGAAGGCACCTTGAAGGTCATCTAGTCCAATCCCCTGCTCAAGCAAGAGACCCTGACAGAATCATAGAATGACAGAGTTGGAAGGGATCTGGGAGGTCATCTAGTCCAACCCCCTGCTCGAGCAGGAGACCCTGACAGAATCACAGAATGACAATGTTGGAAGGGACCCGGGAGGTCATCTAGTCCAGCCCCCTGATCAAGCAGGAGACCCTGACAGAATCATGGCATAACAGAGTTGGAAGGCACCTGGGAGGTCATCTAGTCCAACCCCCTGCTCGAGCCGGAGACACTGACAGAATTGCGGAATGACAGAGTTGGAAGGGACCCAGGAGGTCATCTAGTCCAACCCCCTGGTCGAGCAGGAAAAGCCGCCCACCCACAGCTCCTCCACAGCCCACGTCTCCAGCACTTCGTCGTCTGGAAGCCGAGTGAGGCGCCCAGGCAGCTGTCACACAGGTGGTGAGGGGCACGGCTCAGCCGCTAAGCCCTGGCTGACATTTTATCCAGGTTGTGCGGATGATTGTTGCAGGGACGATTCGGAGAAGGATCTGGAATGGCTGTGGGGTAGGGTGTCTTAATTAGCTTAGCTTAATTAGGCTTGGCGCCATAAGGGCTTGCAAGGCTGTCAAACGTTGCCCTTGTTGATTTCTTTTGATCTGGCTTTCTGGTGGATGGATGGATGGATGGAGAGGGGCGGGGATAGATGATAGAGAGATGATAGAAATGGATGGAGAGATAGATACAATGGATGGATGGATGGATGGATAGAGAGTTGATAGACGATGATAGATGATAAAAATAGATGGATGGATAGATAGATACGATGGATAGATGGATATGATAGATAGGTATAGATAGATAGATAGATAGATAGATAGATAGATAGATAGATAGATAGATAGATAGATAGAGAATAGATGGATAGATAGATACGATCAATGGATGGATGATAGACAATAGATGGATGAATGGATAGATAGATAGATAGATAGATAGATAGATAGATAGATAGAGTTGATAGACGATAGCGAGATAGACAATAGGTGGATGGATAGATACAATGGATAGATAACAATGGATGGATAGATAGATATGATCGATCGATGGATGATAGACGATAGATAGATAGATAGATAGATAGATAGATAGATAGATAGATAGATAGATAGATAGATAGATAGATAGATAGTTGATAGACGATGATAGAGAGATGATAGACAATGGGTGGATGGATAGATACAATGGATAGATAACAATGGATGGATGGATAGATAGATAGAGAGACAATGATAGAGAGATAATAGACAATAGATGGGTAGAGAGAAAGAGAGTTGATAGACAGTGATAGAGATGATGGATGGATAGATGATGGATGATGGATAGAGAGATAGAATAGATAGATAGATAGATAGATAGATAGATAGATAGATAGATAGATAGATAGATAGATAGATAGATAGATAGATAGATAGATAGATCACCGTTGGTTTCTTTTGATCTGGCTTTCTGATTTTCTAAGTAACTGAAGTCGGCAAACAGACCTTTCATTTTCTGCTCCTGTATTCCCCACGACATCAACCCTGTGAGGTGGGCTGGGATGAGAAAAAGAGGGACTGGCCCAGAAAAACACAGCTGGCTTTCATGCCTAAGGCGGGACTAGAACTCACCGTCTCCTAGTGATTGGCCAAACACCATGCAGCCACACCTTTCGTGCTGAGGCGGGACTAGAACTCACCGTCTCCTGGTGATTGGCCCAAAGTGACCCAGCTGGCTTTCAGGCCCGAGGCGGGACTAGAACTCACCGTCTCCTGGTGATTGGCCCAAAGTCACCTCCCAACTTTCATGCCTAAAGCTGTACTAGCACTCCTGGTCGCGTCTCCAAGCCTGATTTTTTTTTTAAAAAAAAAGGAAAAATAACTTATACAACTCCTATTAGCCACCTACTCTGATTTATATTTATTGGGAACTAATGCAATAAATTAGGGCAAAATCCGATGGTCCTTCGATCTGCTCAATGGAGTCCAGTCACCCGGCGATCGGCAAGGGTGGCGGCGTCGAGAAAGCTTCTCCCGGGAAGGCGCCAGGATCGTTGGGCTTGCAACCGAGCGAGCGGGGGTGACGAGCTGAGTAGCGGAGCGTCATCTCCCCCCCCCGAAGAGTCCTTTCGTTTCTCGTTGCTCGAGGGAGCTGTGAAAAGGAGAAAAAAAAAACCCCACACCTTCGGGATGCATTTTCCAGATGAATTAGCACCGCTGGGAAACGTAGTAGCAAGCGCTGAGCTGGGGCTAAAATTAGAAAGGTGTCAGAACGTGACGACGACGTGCCGATAACAGACGCTTGGCTGGAGGTGCTGCGCGGTTGTCCGCCCGGTGGGGTTCCTCACTACAGCCTCTGCGTCCACAGCTAGTCCTCGACTTAACGACGACCGTCCCGTGGCTCAGCGGGATGGTTGTTAACTGAGATTTGCCCCCGTTTTACGACTTTTCTAGCCCTTGTTGTTTGGGGAATCCCGGCCGTTGTCAGTCATGCAATTGTGACGTGAATTGGAATGCGACTCCATTCTCTCTCTCTCTCTCTCCCCCTCCCTCCCTCCCTCTCTGTGTCTCTCTCTCTCCCTCTCTCTCTGTGTCTCCCTCTCTCTCTTTCTCTCTCTCCCCCTCCCTCTGTGTCTCCCTCCCTCCCTCTCTCTTTCTCCCTCTCTCTCCCTCTCTGTCTCTCTCTCCCTCCCTCTCTCTCTCTGTTTTTCCCTCCTTCCCTCTTTCTGTGTCCCTCCCTCCCTCTCTTTCTGTCTCCCTCTCTCTCTTTCTCTCTCCTGTCTCCCTCCCTCCCTCTCTCTCCCTCTCTGTCTCTCTCTTCCTCCCTCTCTCTCTCTGTTTTTCCCTCCTTCCCTCTTTCTGTGTCCCTCCCTCCCTCTCTCTGCCTCTCTCTTTCTCTCTCCCCCTCCCTCCCTCTGTTTCTCCTTCCCTCCCTGTGTCCCTCCCTCCCTCTCTCTCTGTCTCTCCCTCCCTCCCTCTCCCTCTCTGTCTCTCTCCCTTCCTCCCTCTCTCTCTCTGTCTCTCCCTCCCCCCCCCTCTCTCGCACGCACACACATCCTCAAAAGCTGCCAGTGCAATTTTCTTAAGTGTGTGCGTGAGACCGGAATCAGATTTAAGACCTGGCGATTAGCCGGTGGGATTGATGGCTTGGGGGGGGGGGAGTAGATGAGCAGACAAAGTTGTTTTGTCTGAATGAGACTTTAAAAGAAGAAAGAGAGAGAGAGAAAAGGAAGGAAAAGAAAGGAAATGAAAGGAAGGAAGGCGAGAGAAAGAAAGGGAATGAAGAAAAAGCAGGAAGGAAAGAAAGAAAGAAAAAGAAGGAAAGAGCAGGAAGTAGAGAAAAAAGAAAAAAGGAAGGAAGGAAGGACAAAGAGAAAGATGGAAGGAGAGAGAAAGGAAAGAAAGAAAGAAAGAAAGAGGAAGTAGAGGAAAAAGAAAGAAAAGAAAGAAGGAAGGAAGGAGAAAAAGAAAGCAGGAAGGAAGGACGAGAGAAAGAAGGAAAGAGAAAGGAAAGAAGAAAGAAAGCAGGAAGGAAAGACCGAAAGAAAGCAGGAAGTAGAGAGAAAAGAAAGAAGGAAGGAAGGGAAGGAAGGAAGGACAGAAAGAGAAAGAAAGAAGGAAGGAGAGAGAAAGGAAAGAAGAAAGAAAGCAGGAAGGAAAGACAAAGAAAAGAAAGCAGGAAGTAGAGAAAAAAGAAAGAAAAAAGAAGGAAGGAGAAAAAGAAAGGGAAGGGCAGGAAGGAAGGAGAAAGAAAGAGAGAGAGAGAAAGGAAAGAAGAAAGAAAGCAGGAAGGAAAGAAAGAAAAAAGAACAGGAAGTAGAGAAAAAAAGAAAGAAAAGAAGGAAGGAAGGAGAAGAAAAGGACAAAGAAAGAAAGAAAGAAAGAAGGACAAAAGGAAAGAAGAAAGAAAAGAGCAGGAAGGAAAGGAAAGAAAAAGAAAGAAAGAAGAAAGATGGAAGGAAGGAAAAAGAAAAATGGAAAGAGCAGGCAGGAAAGAAAGAAAGCAAAAGAAGAAAAAGAAAGAAAGAAGGGGAAAAGGAAAGAAAGAAAAGAAAAGAAATTTCTGTACTTGAGACATTTTTTCTGTGAATTTTGCCCCCTTACTCAGTGAATCCCTGAAGTTGTTAAGTGGATCTGGCTTCCTGCTGGTCAGAGGATCGCAAACCGGGGGGGGGGGAATCACGCGACACACACTCCCCCCTTTGGGACGTTACAAAACCGTCACAAATACGAGTGAGCTGCCACGCGCCCGAAGTTGGATCCCGCGACCACGGGGATACTGCGACGGTCGTTAAGAGGGGAAAACGGTCCTCAAGTCGCTTCTTTTTCAGTGCCGTTGTCGTTTCCGAGCTGTCGTAAGTCGAGGATCCTTTCTGTGCATGATGGGACACGAGGAATCCCGGCACCTTCGATGACCGAGCCCGTATTTTACGTCGAACTTCATCCGTATCGTTTCCCGAACGCCGTGCGGCTTCCCAGCTAATAAGTCGCCGTTGTTCCAGTTAATCAACGGGAGAGTTTTATATACCTAATTAACTGGTTTTACAGCGTCAAGCGGCAATTCCTTAGCCCTGTTTAGTTCTTCCAAGGCGTTCAGACGCCGGCCTATAAATTATGGCGGTTTTTTAAAAAAAATACGCATAAAACACATTTAATTTGCATTAATCTCTACCCTTCCCCCCCCCCCCCCAGTTTTTTAAGGTTGGGATTCTGCCTTTCAGACAGACATTTAAAGGGACAATAAAGGCATTTTTCTATTCTATTTATTCCATTTCATATTTTCTATTCTATATTCCATTCTGTTCTATTGCATTCTGTATTCTATTGTATTGCATTCTAGCCTATATCCTATTCTGTTCTGTTTTATTCTATTCTATTCTATTAATTCTATTCTATTTTATATTTTATATTCTGTTCCATATTCTATATTCTATTCTATTCTGTATTCTATTCTATTCTTATATTCTATATTCTATTCTATATTCTATTCTATTCTATTCTATTAATTCTATTCTGTTTCTTTATTCTATATTCTATTCTGTATTCTATTCTGTATTCTATTCTATTCTATTCTATTCTACTCCCCCCGGCTTTCAGAAAACGAATATCCCCGGATCATGCAATCAAAATTTGGATGCTGACTCGAATTTATGACACTTTTCATGTCCTGTGATCCCCTTTTGCGACCTTCGGACTGTGCAAAGTCAAGGGGGGAAGCCAGACTCACTTAACAACGTCGTTACTAGTGTAACAACTGCGACGATCCACTTAACAGTGGTGACCCGAAAGGTCGTAAAGTGGGGCAAAAACCTGCTGCACAGCTTTCTTGCTTTACGACATAAGTGTTGGGCCGTAAGTTGAGGACTACCTGTAGATCGTCCTTCTCTCTGCAACAGTTGGGCCGCATTTAATCCACTCCGCATCGTGGGAAGAAATCGATATGCAGGTAATAATCCTCAGCTTACGACCGCAGTGGAGCCCAACGTTTCAGTTCCTTAAGGGGAGACATTTTGTTCAGCGAGTTTGGTCCCATTTTACGACCGGTTTTTGCAAAGTTTCAAAAAAACCCGCAGGGCTTCGCTTTTGACAACTGCGGCTGGAGCGCGCGCGTCGAAGAGGGCCAAATTCACGGAACAGTTTGGAGCTCGTTTGTGTCCATTCCAGCCTTTTTAATTCTCTCTCTCCTTGGAAGGTTGCGGCGAGGCAATGTTGAGGTTGAACCTTAGGGCAACTTTTGAATACTGATCTGCGCGGTATTCTTGATTTATCGGCGCCACGTGAGCTCGGCTTCCGTCCATCCGGCGTGATCAATAACCCCTTCCCATTGGTTTTGAGATCTTCTTGCTGTTTAAACATTGATTTTTCTCTCCTCCAGATGGACCTGAAGAGGAGAAGATGGAGACAGACGCGGATGGAGCGCCGGCAGACAAAGTGAAGGTCTGACACGGTTAAATCCACTTTTTTTTCTTTTTGTTTCTCATGCCAAATTCAGGGACTTTGAATTGATAGAAGAGAATAGCGGAGCTGTGGGGTCCTTGGTTTGGTGGTTTTCTCGCAGACGTTTCAGGACCCAGCTAGGGAATGTCATCAGTCCTGGAAAGGGGGGAGGAGGAGGAAAAATGTGGTGTCTCTGATACTCTCTGAGCTTGGCTGTTTTCTTTCAGACGTTTCAGGACCCAACTAGGGAACATCATCAATGTTAGAAGGAGGGAGGAGGAGGAGGAGGAGGGGAAAAAAGGACAGTAGGATCCTTGGAGCTCTCTGATCTTGGCTGTTTTCTTGCAGACGTTTCAGGACCCAACTAGGGAACGTCATCAGTGCTGGAAGGAGTTAACTTCTAGCACCGATCACGTGATCTAGCTGGTTGGACTAGAAGACCTCCAAGGTCCCTTCCAGCTCTGCTGTTCTGTAGTCCTTAAGGCCAGGTCCTGGACTACAGGTAGTCCTCGACTTAACAACCGTTCATTCGATGACCGTTCAAAGTCACAACGGCCCCGGAAAAAAAGTGACTTACAACTATTTTTCCCATTTACATGGTCACGTGATCGAAATTCGGCTGCTTGGCAGCTGGTCCATCCTTACAACCGTTCCCTGTGTCCCAGGGTCCCATGATCCCCCTTTTGCAACCTTCCCACGAGCCGAGTCAATGGGGGGGAGCCGGATTCACTTAACGGTAACAGCCGTGTTACCAACTGCCGTGATTCACTTGCCACCTCCGTGGCAAGAACGGTCGTAAAACGAGGCAAAATTCCCATTAACAAAAATGTCCCGCTCAACAGCAGCAATTTGGGGCTCCGTCGTGCTCGTAAGCCTAGGACTACCGTTAAATTGAGGACCGTATTATACTTTCATATATATTAACGGTCGTAATCCGAGGGCTGCATGTTGTGCTATCGAGGAACGCTTCTCCGCCAATCAGATTCTTCTTTTCTTCCGTTTCATCTCGGCCGCGATGCGATTAACTCTGGGTTATTAAGTTGTAATTCTCTTCTTTTCTTTTCTTTTTTTTAATTGCCGGAGATATTAAATCATTCCCTTCTCTCTCTCCTTAACGCATTTTAGGTAGAAAGCAAAGGAGAGAACGAAATAGACGGGAACAAGCTACAGGAAGGAGGAGAGGACGAGAGAATCGCAGAAAAAGAACAAGATAGTGACGTGTCTCAGGATTCCAAACACGGTAGGGGTGTCTGGGGTTTTTTACGCACACACACAAACAAACATAGGCTGTGCAGGTCTTCTCCATTGTCCCAGCAACGACGCCCCATAAATTTTTCCATGGCAATATGCTAACACAGACCACGGCAGTAAATTTCCTGCCTTACATTTCACTGGCGCCGGGCCGTAAATCTTCCTTTCAAAACCTTACATGCTTCACTTAGCAACTCTTTTCATCGCCCGTCGTATCGTCCGGGGAATTAATACTAAGCTTAACAAGCTCCAGGCTAGAAACGTTAAGAGACAGGGGAGAAATATTACATATTTTTTTTTACAACTAAGCCAATTGGTTTGGCCTGGATTTGAAAGAATGAATGGGCAAAGCCAGGAAGATTTTGGTGTAATCTGCCCTACTTCAGATGTGCAGGTCGTTCTCTAGTTATAACCGTTCATTTAGTGACCCGACTTACAACAGCACTGGAAAAAAAGCGACTTCTGATTGTTTTTCCCACATAATGACCGCTGCAGCATCCCCGTGGTCATGTGATCAAAATTCAGAGAGTTGGCAACTGACTCATATTTATGACGGTCACAGCATCCCGGGGTCACGCGATCCCCTTTTGCGACCTTCCAACAAGCAGTCAATGGAGAAGCCAGATTCATTTAACAACCGTGTTACTAACTTAACGACTGCAGTGATTCGCTTAACAACCATCGCGAAAAAGGTCGTAAAATGGGGAAACTTATTTATCAAGTTTCCGCTTAGCAGCAGAAAATTGGGGGCTCAGTTACGGTCGTAAGTAGAGGACTGCCTGTAGATCATATTCTTTCTGCATCTCGGTGCTTCTTCGCATGGCTGCCTTTAATCCACTCCGCCTCATGGAAAGAAAGTGAGACACAGATAGTCCTTGACTTAGGACCACAACTGAGCCCAAAATTTCCATTGCTAAGTGAAACAGTTGTTCAATGAAATTTGCTCTATTTTACCATCTTTCCTGCCACCATCGTTAAGTGAATCACTACAGTTCACTTAGTCACACAGTTGTTAAGCGAATCTGACTTCCCCCCCGTTGACTTTGCTCATTGGAAGGTCGCAAAAGGGGATGAGATGAGCCCAGGACACTGCAACCGTCATAAATACAAGTCAGTTGCCAAGCATCTGAATTTTGATCCCATGCTACAGTTCCTCACTGGAGCCTCAGCATATACAGCTGGTCCTCAACGTCCGACCACAATTTGTCTGTGGTTAAGCAGGACGGCCGTTAAAGTGAGCTTTGACCCCATTTGACCCCATTTGTCGTTGTTAAGTGAATCTCTGCAGTTAATTCACATGATTATGAAGTGAATCTGCCTTCCCCATTGTGACCTTGTCAGAAAGTCATAAAAGGGGATCACATGATGCGGGACGCAGCGACCGTCATAAATACGAGCCAGGTGCCAGTGTCCAAATTTTGATCCCGTCACCACGGGGATGCTGCAACCACCGTACATGTGGAAAACAATCTTAATTCCCCTTTTTTTCAGTGCCGTCGTAATTTCTACGGTCACTAAACGGAACTGTTGTAAGTCGAGGACTGTCTGTATAGAGAGGGTCCACAGTAGGGTAGACTCAATAGAACTCTCTTGCTGGTCATAATTGGGAGAAGACTAGTCATCTTCTACTGAAACTTAAAATCTCAGACTTGGGAGATAAAAAAACCCCGTGGGAATCAGAGTTGACCTGAGTCTAACCCGGGTTCCTTTGTTCAGATGACAAGGAAGCCGAGGAGAACAAGGAGAACTTTGACACGGGCAAAGAGAAGGAAGGCAGCGGCGGGAAGCGGCGAGGCGAGCACGAAGTCTCCGAAGGGAATGTTGCGACGGCTGCAGCTGCCGCCCTGGCCTCCGCTGCCACCAAAGCCAAGGTTTGTCAACGGCGGAGAAGATCTCCACGGCCTGCGGATTTCCGCTGCTTTTCAAACCCCGCTTTGTTGCGACGTGCCAGGATTCGTGCGGCTGTTTTGTTTCTCCCCTCTTCCTTCCTGTTCCTTCACACTTTCCCAATGCCCCATTTGTGCACCTCGGCTTCAGCTGCCCGATGGTTCGCATGAAACGGAATTTGTGTCCTGCTTTAAAAGGCTTCGATTGTCAGCTGGCTTGAGTATTGCCCCCTCTGGAAAGTTTGGCAACTCCAACGGACGGCCTTGATGGGTTGATTTCTTTCGGCATTATGAAAGGCGCCGAGCTTTTCTTTTACCTCACAGCCTCACCGCCTTTTTTTTTTTTCTTTTTTTTTTTGTGGGAGGCTAACACATTCCAGCTCCAATTTGCTGAGTGGGGGGCGGGGGTTGTGGGTCTGAAAAGAGCCCATTGTGTAGCCCTTGCAGAAATGGAAGGAGAAAACTTCCTCTTTTTTTTCCCCGCTGCCGATTTCTTGCCGTTTCGGAGCTAATGAGCAGAGAATCTCTTTGCCAAGGAAGGCCATCCTCCTTCAGGCTCTGCTGTACAAAGTCAGAAGCCAAGAACACAACTAAGGACTACTAAGCAGTCCTCGACTTATGACCACAAATGAAACCCCCCCCCCAAATTTCTGTTTCTAAGCAAGATGGTTGTTAAGTAAGTTTTGCTGCCATTTTAGTACCTTTCCTGCCCCAGGTGTTAAGCGAATCACTGCACTTATTAGGTTAGTCACACGCTTGTTAAGTGATTCTTGCTTCCCCCTTTGAATTCGCTCGTCAGACGGTCGCAAAAGGGGATCATGTGACACATACACCCCAGGACGCTGCAACCGTCATAATTACGAGTCAGTTGCCCAGCATCCAAATTTTGAACACGTGACCACGGGGATCCTGCAATGGTTGTAAGTGTCATAAGAAGGTTGTAAGTTCACTAAATGAATGGCTGTAAGTGTAGGACCACCTATAATGCAGATAGGAGTAAAAATGGGCATAGAAATGGTAGGAGGAGACTCTGTGTACTACCAAAACCCAAGTTTCACTACGTTGTGGTGTCTGTGCTGCTAAAGACAAGAGCAAGGGACGCCCTAAGGCAGCCATTTTGCATCCCTTGCTCACAAAGTCACACTGAGGACTGACAAAGGAAGATTCTAGATTTTTATGACCTAAAGCAGAGAGTCTAATAATCCCTCTCCTATTTGCCTTCTCTAAAAACAGGTAGTCCTCGACTTATGTCCCCAATTGGTCCAAAACTTCTGTTGCTAAGCAAGACATTTGTTAAATGAGTTTTTGTCCCGTTTTACGACCTTTCTTCCCACGCTGGTTAAGTGAATCCCTGCAGTGGTTAAGTTAGCAACACGGTTGTTAAGTGAAGCTGGCTCTCCCATTGACTTTGCTTGTCAAAAGGTCGTAAACGGGGGATCACATGACACACACACCCCTCAGGACATTGCAACCATCTTAAATATGAGTCATTTGCCAAGCGTCTGAATTTTGCTCACATGACCGTGGAGATGCTGCAACAGTCATAAATGTGAAAACCGGCTGTAAGTCACTTTTTTCACTGCCCTTCTCACTTTGACCGGTCACTAAACAAACTGTTGTAGGCCGAGGACTACCTGTATTAATTCCTCTTGTAGGCTTTGCTTTTATATCTGGGATCCAAGGCAATCCTTGTTTGATCCAGTAAACCCCAATCCTTGTCACACCAATGTGACGTCCCTCCAAATCGCAACACGGGTAGCGAAACCATCCTACCCAGTCTCTCCCAGATATGTCACCTTCCAGAATACCCGTTTTCAGAGTCGTTTGAGTAAATGAAATTATTTCACCGTTGGGAATCCGTACGTCCCTTTGTGGTCGCAAGCTTCGTCTTAACGCCGCTAATGGAGATTTAGTTATTAAGCTGCTTTGAGATGATTACTTCATATTAGTGACAAGGAAGGATATATCGGTGCCTTCGTTTACCCTGAAAGAAATCTCAGCCTTAAACAGCTGTGCTGTTGATCACCCTGAAATTCAGGCACCTTACGGCAACCTCGATAAGGTTTTCTTAACTCTTTCCATCTCGTTTCAAGCAAATTCCACGAGAATTGCAGAAGCCTGAAAGAGTTGCTTATCAGAAAGTTGAAAATAAAAATATAAAATGTTTTAAATAACTGAAACAAAAAATACCTATCCAGAACTACCAAAAAAACCCCACATTGCTGGTTTGGCCTCCAGGTAAACTGGGTTCTGTTCTTCCTTAGCATCTGGCCGCCGTTGAGGAACGGAAGATCAAGTCTCTGGTGGCTCTCCTGGTGGAAACCCAGATGAAGAAACTGGAGATCAAACTTCGCCATTTTGAAGAGCTGGAAACCATCATGGATAGAGAGAAAGAGGCGGTAAGATTGAAACCTGGTTCCGTTCACTCATGTCTCGGGACCCCCTTTGTCTGATGGCTCAAACTTTCTCCAGATTTCTCTCTGTTGATTTATTTATATCCCGATTTATCATTTTTATAAATAACTCTGGGCAGCAAACATACCTGACACAGGCAATCTTTGACGCACAACCACAATGGAGCCCAAAATTTATGTTGCTAAGTGAGACATTTGTTAATTGAGTTTTGCCTCATTTTACGACCTTTCTTCAACGGTCCTAAAAATGAACCAGTTGCCCGGTATCTGGATTTTGATCACATGATCATAGGGATGCACGTACGAAGGTTCAATTTAAGTGATGTATTGCTAAAAACCTATGCACAGGAATCTTTCAACTAAAAGTGATTTATTGCTAAAAGCTAATGACAGGAATCTTTCAACTAAAGTGATTTATTGCTAAAAAACATTTGTGTGGGAATCTTTCAACTAAAAGTGATTTATTGCTAAAAGCTAATGACAGGAATCTTTCAACTAAAGTGATTTATTGCTAAAAAACATTTGTGTGGGAATCTTTCAACTAAAGTGATTTATTGCTAAACGCTAATGACAGGAATCTTTCAACTAAAGTGATTTATTGCTGAAAGCCTTTGCACAGGAATTTTCTCAGCTAACAACACCTGCTAGGAATTCAATATAGATTAGTGGAATTCAAGAGTGGTTGGACTTAGTTCCCTTGTGGCTATGTAAGAATTCTCAGCTTCCCTTTTTTTCACTCCGCCCCCAGATTCTGCCATCCCTTCTCCTACAGATGCCGACATTCAGTCAGTTCATGTGCTTCTTTTTTTTCAGTTGGGGAGCTGGCGACAGAATCTACCCCAAAAGCCATATCGTAGACCCTTCATTGGACACCCCGCATTCAATTTGTGGAGCGATCAATATTCCGAGTCCCTATGGACACCCTATGGTCAGATCGTGGAGTCCTTCCGGGCATCCCTCGGTCAATCCAGGGAGTCCCTTTCGGGCACCCCACCATCAATCCATGGGGTCCCTCTGGGTCACCCTTGGTCGATCCATGTAGTCTGTCCAGGCACCCCATAGTCAATCCATGAAGTCCCTCTGGGCACCCCGCAATCTATCCTTGGAGTCCCTCCAGGCACCTCACCCTCAATTCATGGGATCCCTCTGGACACTCCTTGGTCAATCCGTGGAGTATCTCCAGGCACCCCACGGTCGATCCATGGCATCCCTTCAGGTATCCCATGGTCAATCTGTGCAGTCCCTCTGAACCCCCATGTGGTCAATCCATGAAGTCCCTCTGCACACCCCACGGTCAACCCATGGAGTCTCCCCAGACACCCCATGGTCGATCCGTGGAGTTCCTCTGGGCACCCCGCAGTCACTCCGTGACGTCCCTCTGGATACCCCAATCCATGAAGTCCTTCTGGTCAATCTGTGAATTCCCTCTGGACATCCTGCGGTCTCCCCAGACACCCTATGATCGATCCGTGAAGTTGGTCTGGGCACCCCGCGGCGGTCTATCCATCGAATAACTCCAGGCCCCCCAGGGTCAATTCCTGCAGCCCCTCCCAGCACCCCAACGTCAATTTGTGAATTCCTTCCGGGCACTTTGTATCCCAGTCCATGCTGACTCTCTGGGCACCCACCCTATGCCGGTCAGTCCCTGGAGCGCCTCCGGCACCCCACACTCCATTCATTCCGCCTTCATTTTCTCAGCATCGGCCCGACAACCAAGTTTACTTCTCCGCCGTTGGGACCCCTTCTCCAAATGTTTAGGCATTGTTCTCGTCCTGACCCTTTGATCCCCTGGGGGGGGTTGTAGCCCATCCTGTTTCCGCCCCCCGAGGCAAACCACATAAAATGGGGCACTACCACACCCCCGTCTCTCCGGTGGGTGTGCTTCAGACGGACGGGCGCGTGATCCCCGGCACATTCTTCGCTCTTTGTCCGCCGGGTTTTCCCAATTTCCTTTCCATGCAAGAGAGCTTTTGTGCGACACCCCCTCCCCACGTCTCTCCCTCCTGCTCTCTGCTGATTGGCAGATAAGGAAAGGACAGTTGCTAGGGGCGCAGGCAGCTTCCCCGTTGATTCCCTCCCCCCCCCCCCCAAGAAAATTACTCTCTTGCAGCAAGCAGCTGTTCTCGCCTCACTGTGTAAGCATGAGTTGCCGGCCTTTCTAAAAGGGGGAAACAAAATTCAATTTTCCTTGCAAACTAGCGGCCTCCATTTCAAAAAGACGGTTCGGTTCGTCTGGGGCGTGAGCCGTGCAGATCGTCGCCAAATCGGTGTTTTTCTCTCTCCCGACACGAAGGGGCAGAGGTGACCATTGTCTACACAACAGTTTCAATGTAACTCTTTCAGCCCTTAAAGTCGAGCTTGTGTAAATCTCACAAAAGAGAGGGCCTCGGGGGTGCATTCCTGCCAAGCGGACGGCCACAACCGGGAGACTTAACTTGTAATTTTCCCGTTTGTGTGTGTGTGTGTTTTTCGCATCACAACTGCACCTTGCACCCTGTGTTTTGTTAATATTTTGCATCGCACGCACACATACGTGCAAACACACATAACCCGGTCTCAAACGGGTAAGGATAGGAGGTGTGAACAGGATTCCCTCGGTGATGATCCATTCCGAATTGGAAGTTGACAAGTGGAGACATTCCATTGGTCGTCGTTCCAGGCACGGCAGATTTGGTCATTTTTTTTTACCGAGGCGTGACCAGAATTTAGGAATTTGTGCCATGTTTCAAATCAGTTGATTATTTTCTTCTTCTTCTTCTTCTTCTTCTTCTTCTTCTTCTTCTTCTTCTTCTTCTTCTTCTTCTTCTTCTTCTTCTTCTTCTTCTTCTTCTTCTTCTTCTTCTTCCTCTTCTTCCTCTTCTTCTTCTTCTTCTTTTCTTCTTCTTCTTCTTCTTCTTCTTCTTCTTCTTCTTCTTCTCCTTCTCCTCCTCCTCCTCCTCCTCCTCCTCCTCCTCTCCATTAAAATTCAGAGAGAAAGTTGGCAGGATCCTAAGAGATCGTTGTCTTTCCGCTTCCCTTCTCTTCCGTGGGTTCCTAACTCCGGCCCATTTGCTAGGCGCAAACATTTATGTGTTGTTGTCGTTGTTGTTTTAAAAAAGAGGGTACATCGCCATCAGTCTGAAAACCAGGAAGTGGGCAGGTCCTGCACAATTGTTTAATTGGTGTCAATTTTGTGATTCGACTTGGTTTAGTGTTGAAGGCAAGAGGTTGAAAACAGGAGTCAGTGAATTCTAGTCTCGACTTAGGCATGAAAGCCGGCTGGGTGACTTTGGGCCAGTCACCAGGAGACAGAGAGTTCTAGTCCCGCTTTAGGCATGAAAGCCGACTGGGTGACTTTGGGCCAATCACCAGGAGACGGTGAGTTCTAGTCCCGCCTTAGGCATGAAAGCCGACTGGGTGACTTTGGGCCAGCACCAGGAGGCTGGGAGTTCTAGTCCCGCCTTAGACATGAAAGCCTACTGGGTGACTTTGGGCCAGTCACCAGGAGACAGAGAGTTCTAGTCCCGCCTTAGGCATGAAAGCCAGCTGGGTGACTTTGGGCCAATCACCAGGTGACAGAGAGTTCTAGTCCCGCCTTAGGCATGAAAGCCAGCTGGGTGACTTTGGGCCAGCACCAGGAGGCTGGGAGTTCTAGTCCCACCTTAGACATGAAAGCCTACTGGGTGACTTTGGGCCAGTCACCAGGAGACAGAGAGTTCTAGTCCCGCCTTAGGCATGAAAGCCAGCTGGGTGACTTTGGGCCAATCACCAGGTGACAGAGAGTTCTAGTCCCGCCTTAGGCATGAAAGCCAGCTGGGTGACTTTGGGCCAATCACCAGGTGACAGAGAGTTCTAGTCCCGCTTTAGGCATGAAAGCCGACTGGGTGTCTTTGGGCCAATCACCAGGAGACAGAGAGTTCTAGTCCCGCCTTAGGCATGAAAGCCGGCTGGGTGACTAAAGAATAAAGGCAGGATATTAAAAAAATACATCAAATAAACATTCAAATGTTGACCGAGCGTTTTATTCCAGCTGCCCATTCAACGCAACTTCCCCTTGATAAACCCGGGTTGATAAACCCCTCATTGTCGTGTCCTTCATCGGAGAAGGCAAGCCATCTTCCCGCTAAACCCAACTCGGTTCCCATCATGGGCACAGACAGAGACCGGGGCCGGTCCCGCAAATAACCCATTCCTACCTTAGGTAGTCTAGCCTGGCGTACCGTCGAAACCCGGCCCCTGCGCTCCATCGGGCCTCGGAAACTCTCCGCCCTGGATCCTGAGCTCCCATTCAGGTCGTCCTCGTCTTACGACTGTTCATTTAGTGACCGTTCAAAATTACAACGGCCCTGGGGGGAAAAAGGAGACTTAGGTTTTTAACACTTAACACTTTTAACACTCGCTTAATGGCAGAAATGTTGGGCTCCATTGCGGACGTTAAGCGGAGGACTAATTGTAATCAAAATTCATAGGCTTGGGAACTGGCTCGTAGTTACCACGGTCGCAGTGTCCCGGAGTCGTGCGATCCCCTTTTGCGACCTTCTGACCAGCAAAGTTCATGGGGAAGCCATATTCACTTAACGACCGTGTTACTCGCTTAGCAACCTAGGGACTCACTTTTCTGGCCACCAAATGTAAAAATTCACCGCACAAATGTCTCGCTTAACGGCAGAAATGTGGGGCTCGATTGTGGTCGTTAAGCCGAGGACTGCCTGTAATCCCGATTCAGCCGCTTGGCAACTGACTCGTAGTTATGACGATCGCAGGGTCCCCTTTGGACCGGCAAAGTCAACGGGCGCAAGCCAGATTCACTTCACCACCGGCTTCCTCACTTAACAACCCCGGCGATTCATTTAACCACAGTCGCCAGAAAGGTCGCCAAATGGGGCCAAACCCACTTTTAACAACTGTCACTCAGCAACGGAAATAGGCTTGAATGTGGTCGTGAGGCGAGGACTACCTCTACCAGACACACCATTTATGGCTGCGAATTTCAAGCGATGGAGCGATTTACGAGCCGGGAAAACATGCCGTGGTGGTTTTTATCGGGGGGGGCTTGTAACCATGGTTTTTAGAGTGGGCTCTCAGCCGTGATTGTGTTTACGGTGGGCCTGTAACCGTGGTTGTTTTCATGGGGGGCTTTTAATTGTTGTTTAGATGGTGGCCTTTGAACCGTGGTTGTATTTAGGGCGAGCTTTGAACCGTGGTTATTTTTAGGGGGGACTTTGAACCGTGGTTGTTTTTAGGGTGGGCTTTGAACTGGCTTTTAATCGGTTTATGACTTTCCCATCTCGTTTTTGGTTTTTTTTCCCCCCTCAGCTGGAGCAGCAAAGGCAGCAGCTGCTAACTGAGCGTCAAAACTTCCACATGGAGCAACTCAAATACGCCGAACTCCGAGCCCGGCAACAGTTAGAACAGCAGCAGCAACAACAACAACAACAACAGAGCCAGAACGCACAACAGTCACACCAGCACGCCAGTGGTCCGGGCATGAATCCTCTGGGCATAGCGTTGACATCTCACCAGCAGCCTCCCCCTTACCCCATGATGCACCACCCGATGCCCCCGCCACACACCCCTCAACCAGGTTAGTGATGTGCGGGTCTGGCTTTCAGCAGGGAAAAAAGACGATCTGGGCGGGCGTGAATCCTGACCGGATAAAGGAAGTCGAGCGGCACTCCGGTTGATCGAGCGCCAGGCGCGTAAGGTGGAAAAGACAGGCAGTCCTCGCCTTGCGACCGACGTCGGTGGCTAAGCGAGGCAGTGGTTGAGTCGCACCTACTTTTACAACCTTCTCGCGGTGGTTCAGCGAATCGATATACTTCTAAAGGGCGTCGTGCGGCACCTGAATTTTGACCACGTGACCGTGGGGGGGTGCAGCAGCGGTCATAAGCGCGAGGACTGTGGGGCGCTTGGTGGTAACTAGGTAACATCATCCGTGCTAGTAGGAAGTAGGGTTTGGTCTCTCTTTGTCTCCCATGGCAGTGTCGGCGCGATTGTGGTTTTCGTTTTTTTCCCTTTGTTGTTCCTTGATTAGAGGATTGTTTTCTGCCTGATTTTTGTCTGGGGCTAATCCCGGCTTATCTACGTTTCTCTTTTTGTGGACGCCTTGCTGCTCTCTGAGCTTGGTAGCTTTCTTGGAGACGTCGCGTAACCCAGCTAGGGAACATCCTCAGCGCTAGGAGGAAGGGGGAATCGGTCTCCGTCTAGATACTGTTGCTTGCGCTGGAAGTCTTGATCGGAGTGTGTGTGTGTGTTTTTTTCATTCTTAGTTCATTCATTAGAAGATTGTTTTCTGCTTGATTGTTTGTCTGGGCTTCATCCATGCTTTCCTGCAGACGTTTTGTGACCCGACTATGTAACATCAGCGATGTTAGAAAGGAGTAGTGTTTGCAGAGAGGAGGAGGAGGAGGATTGAAGAAGAGAGGAGCGAGGGAGGGAAGGAAGGAAGATGTATGGAGGGATGGAAGGAAGTATCGGGGATGGATAGAGGGATGGAATACAGGAAGGAGATATATGGAGGAGGGAGGGAGGAAAGGAAGGAAGGAAGGAAGGAAGGAAGATATATGGAGGGATCAAGGATGGGGGTATGGAAGGAAGGAGGTATATGGGGAAGGATGAATGGAAGGAAGAAGATATATGGAGGGATGGAAGGAAGGAAGGAAGGATGGGGATCAAGGGATGGAAGAAAGGAAGGAGATATATGGAGGAGGGAGGGAGGAAAGGAAGGAAAGAAGGAAGAAGATATATGGAAGGATCAAGGATGGGATGGAAGGAAGGAAGGAGGTATATGGAGGGTTGGAAGGAAGGAAGGAAGGATGGGGATCAAGGGATGGAAGACAGGAAGGAGATACAGGGGAAGGAAGGAAGGGAGGGAAGGAGGGAAGGAAGGAAGCAAGGAAGGAGCCAACCAAAGACATCTCAGCCAGCTGCCGCCTGTCTAATGAAGCATTCCTCTTTTCCCCCTGAAACAGCTGCTGTTTGTGCGCGGCTGTGCGTTTGTGTACGTGTGTGTTTGTATGTTTTCCTTTCAGCCTCCCTCCCTGTATGTAGGTCACCGCTTCCTCCCTTTTTTTTTCCTGCTCCAGCCGGTCCACCTTTCCAGCCCCCCCTCCGTCCTCCACCAACCCTCCTTCTCTCTCGCTCTCTCTCTTTCTTTTTTTTTTTACCCCCAATCCGTCCGATCGCAACGTCTGAACCCTTAATCCGTTTTGTTTTCTTTTCCCTTTTCTTCTCCCTCCTTCCTCCAAACAACCTCCGTTGTGTCGCCACAGTACAATTGCAGGACCGCCTGAAGAGGACCAGAAGATGGATGGATGGATGGATGGATGGATGGGAGGGAGGGAGGAGATGATGAATGAAGAAGACCAGAAGATGAATGGATGGA